TCATTGATTCATCAATTTAACATTAATGGGGGGCGAAGCAGAGAGATAAAATAAAGATCGGCAAAGGGGTAGGATCAGCATATATTCTTGTATATACTCTGGGTTGGAAGGGAAAGTCTCTTATATACATACGTAATTTTATTCATTTATTAATATAATCATTTTCTTATTTATTCAATGACAGCAATAAGGGGGGAGAACAGATAAACTTTTTTGTACAATCAGGTCCCCAGGTATGGGGCTCGGTGCCATCTCCGGATCAGGCTTAGCCGCCGCTCCCTACTGGGAACTACCCGGGGAAGAGTTAGGAACAGGAACAAGGAGAAGCGAGAACCACTTAAATAGAGGAATCAATTGTATTTCCTCCTTTGTTCCCCATAGCAACTGGGGATCAAAAAGAACCAAATTTGATGACTTATTAAGGGAAAGTCTTCGAGTTATCCTCAAATAAATGCATGGGTTTTTCATAGCGACTTTTTCTTCCCGTACAGAACGAGTTACGTCCCTTTCGGCATGAATTTCTGGGGGATTAGCCCTTAAGGATAGTGTCTGTATACTGATACAGACACTATGCTACGCTCCGTTCGCTTGCTTGCTACTCACTGTAATTCACATTCACTGGCTTAAGAGCTAATGAATGTGGAGTTACAGTTGGTTCTGACTCTAACAAGTAAGTAAACCACCTTTGAATGCGAGTGCATTCATAGAAGAGAAATCAGTAAATCAGGACAGGAACAGTATCTGGCAGTCAGGTACAAGCAAGTAAGTATGAGAAGAAGGATCTCAGGTTCCAACCAAAGACTCATCACTAATATCGTAGGTGATATCCGAAACCGCTGATGTTAGGATTAAGGAAGTAGACTAGAATCTCGGAACCAAGCTAGCTCAACAGGGCATGTTCCGATATTGCCAATACAGTCTTGTCCAGTAACCCACTAGAACGATTAAGCCAGTGTCCTCACTGATGAATCCCGTGGAACCTAGTATAGGATCCTCGGCATTCTGAGGGGATGTATGATTCTAGTCGAAAGCCCTAATCCATTAAACACAAAAGAAGCGCATCAGTACAAGAAGGCGGATATTGATCATGCAAGTGGAGTGGCTCTCCATACTAAAAAGGTAGCTTGGGAGAACATGCCTATGTGTGTACTGTTCTATTCTTTAAAGAAAGAATAAGAGAAGCAAGGTCCACAGAAGGTTTGACTACGATGATTCTAATTGGCCGGCCTATCCACATCCCAAATAAGAATGAAGACTTTTTTTTTTTTTTTATAAGGCAGGCCTACTACGGTGGTCATACAGATACATACAAGCCATATGGAGAGGACCTATACTACTATGATGTGAACTCTCTCTATCCCTTTGTAATGAAGGAATTTCCAATGCCTGGTGCTGTGCCAGTCTGGCATGGAAATCTGTTCCTATCGTGACAACTCTGGTTCCCCCACCTTTTTTTCGTTCTGGGGCCCTACTTACAAAAAAAGAATAAAGAATCCATTGTTTATAGTACCTTTTCTTTCTTCCACCTCCGAAGGATGTAGGGGGTATATAGCGAAAGAAGCGAGCATCGAAGGGGTCTGGGTTACTGAAGAGTCGTCCGACTGCCTTAGTAGTCTCAAAACGGATGACAAAGCACCCAATGAAGATGCACGGGATCGGTAAAGCCAAACCTAAAGGTTTAGGGGGGCATCTTCTTTTTTTTATATAATGTTCGATTGGACTGAAGTTTCTTGCTTTGGACTACTCTTGCTAATTTCAAGTAGCCAGACCTTGCCCATCCCCCTATTATGAAATAAGGGGCATATAGTGCGATCTGAGGTTCTCCCCGATCAGAAGCAGATGCTACCCGACATGTCAGAAAATCAACGATTACAGGGATTGCCTTCTTCATAGGGTTCAGTGGATAGCTAACAGGCCCTCTTCTGTCTATCTACGTAATAGAGTGTCATCCCGCTTCTGCCAGAATCGAAGCCAATACGTGGACGCTTAAATGATTTGGTTCACGTCTTTCAATGCCTTAAGTTAGTTATTTTCTTACCCGAGTGACTGAATTCCATAGTTCATTCCTCAACCGGAAAGATCGTCCAATCATGATATTGAAGGATGGGACCTTTTCTCGAAAAACTCTGGATCCCGAGAAGAGTTGAAGATGGTGCAACATCGAATCCTGTTACGTTACTTCGAATGGAATCTTAGCCCGCCTCACTTTCTTTCTCTACTGCATAAGGGCCATAAGGGCATAAATGAAGTCAAGGGATTTCCTTCTTTCTAACTAGTGGCTGAGAGTAAGCACCTAAAAGCCTTCATTCAATAGATTTGTGGTTGAGTCACTGGACCTTCGTTTTTCTTACTGTAAGAAATTTATCCAGCCAAAAAAAAAAAAACTTTTGAATACTTGATCCCAACTACTCTATTGTTGATCGAATTAACTATTCCGCAAGTCCCACAGCTTATTCTCGAACATCTGTGCCAAGCTTAGTAAAGCCAGTGATTCCTTCAAAGATCCAAACAGGGGATTCATTGGCATCTTCTTCTCGCGGTTCTCTATTTGAGATAGTTGAAGAGGCCTTTGTACGACAGTATACTTCTACTTATGGCATCGGAACCGCTAATGCCACATCTGTTTCAAAAGGTTCGTAGATTCATTAGCCAGCACTAACTATTCGATGGGGTATACAAGGGTGCTGTTCCCTAACCGTTAGGACGGTAACAAGTTGAAGTTCTGGGAAAGGAACAACAACCAAGTCATTGTTAGTTTTTTCATGTGATTGTCTTTGATCAGTCTTTGATAAGTCATCGGAGGAATGTCGCATCGCTTGTAAAGGACTGTATGGCTTAAAGTCCCTTCTTTCTCTGAGGAGAAGCCCAAAGCTAGTTATCTTTTCCTTTTCCTTGCTCACCTTCCCAGAGGATGACTTCAGAGTGCTTCAACTTGGCCAAGAGTGGATGTCATTCAGGTAAAAGAATGGCACTTGCTCTATTCTTGTTAGCTTGCTTGTAAAGGGGCCTATACAGACTGTTGCAAGACTCTTTCGCCAATCCTACTGGTCCGCTGTGGTTCTTGCAATTATGGCTTCCTGCTTACTCCCCCTCGGTCGGTTGTTTGGGGCGAGGGCCTCAAGCCTCAACTTCACCACCTCCCTAAGACTAAAGCCCCTTTACCGAATTTTCAAAAGGTAAGAAATGGCGTAGTCTTAGAAGGAGTATGAGAAGTGGTAAGTGAGTTAAAACACTTACCACATTCCCAATCTCCCTTTGGGAGTATGGAGCCAGCGTCGGTATCGGCAACTGTCGTATAGGGCCACCACTCCCGTGCAGCGGGAGTTCCGAAACAGGCAGTACTTGCCTCGGATAATCCCAGTTGAAGCCTTCTCGTGTTTATATCACTCTGCTTTAGCCACGGTAGCAAGCAGATTTCGGCGTAACTTCCCGGTAACTGCCTAAGTTCCCGGTCCTTTATTCGTTCTATAGGAGCCATCCCGATCTCATCTACCTAGAGAATGGGTGAGATGACGGTTGGTCAAAAATACGATAGATAAGGGGATCTAATGCGAACCTTGACGCCCGACGGGCGATAAAGGTAAGGTAAGGGACCTAAATGCAGTAGGAATTGTCTAATCAAAAGGCTAGAAGTTCATTCCTTTCGCCTAAGTCTCACCCTTTTCAACCATAAAAAAAAGAACAGTACCAGCGCATACTATACTTGCTCTAATCTGGATGACTGGGGGATTAGCCCTTAAGGATAGTGTCTGTATACTGATACAGACACTATGCTACGCTCCGTTCAAATTTGAGATTGGGTTGGTGTGAAGTGTACCGCTTGTGTAGCCTATGCGAAGCGAACGAGCAAGGGATTGAGGTGAAAGTCGCGTTCGCGCATTTTCTTGCTGGGTACAAGATCGAAAAGAATGCCCGTATGTCGAGATACAAGGTTTTTCGAGAAAAGGTCTCATCCTTCAATATCATGATTGGGGCGACCAGGCTATATATATGTATATATGAGACATGATCTTCTTACATCGGTGTAAGAGTAATACCTCTTACACTCAATTTTAACTGTTGATTTTCGTATATCTAACGGGTATAATTAATAATTAATTAGTGAGAATAATGTAATTAATTACAGTAGTTTGATAGACGAAAATCAACGGTTAAGATTGAGTGTAAAAGTTATTACTCTTACACTGGTGTAAGTTGATCCTGTCTCTATATGTATATATAGGGTTTAATGTTTGTACTTTTAAAGGATATAGAATTATGTAATTTTAAGTGAAAAAAAGATACACAATAAAAATCATAGGAGAAAAAATAGGTGAATTTTTTTTAAATTTAAATTTAAAATAAAAAAATAATAGGTTGTATCTTTTTCTCTCTTAAAATGACACAATTATATGTCCTTCAAAAGGACAAATATTTTTTCAATATATATATATGGGGAAGGATATTGTGACAACCAAGTTGTGTTACTACCAAGTGACTGCCAATTAATTTCACCGTTAGATCGATTATGTTGATCCAACGGTTATATTTATTTCCATCTTTGTATGGTTATGATTTCTTATATTTAATGTGAAAGCATTAAATATGGAAAATCATAATCATACAAAGGTAGAAATAAATATAAAGTATTAAATTTGGGAAACCATGACCATACAAAGATGGAAATAAATATAACCGTTGCATCAACATAATCGATCTAATGGTGAGATTAATTGATAGTCACTTGGTAGTAACACAACTTGGTTGTCACAATATCCTTCCCCTATATTTATATATAACTTCTGAAAATTTTCTTTTTCCACCAGAATTTATGGTATCAATTATTAATAAAAAGAATATCAACAGCTAAAGTTCTGATTTTTGAATAAATTTAATTTACACCGTTCTACAGCCGAAACCATATACTTTGCACTTATGAATTAGGACGCCGATGCTAGGGGCTATGTTGAATAGACAAGAGAATATAAGTGCTTTCGTTACAATTTTAAAAGTGCAATTACCTTGAAACGATGGTATGAATCGACCGCGATTTGCCCGTTGCTCTGATCCTTTATTTTATCTAGTTACAAGAAGAAGAGAAAAAAAAAATCTAAGATAATATGATCATGAGCATATGGATCCAAAATATTTTAATTCCGTGAAGTTAAGGATAATTTTGAACTGACAACTTTTACAAATGTAATTATAATTATTAATACGAGAAACGATTAAATATTATAAATTTTAATTGTAGATAATTAAACGATTAAGTATTATAAATTTTAATGGTAGATAACCATTGATTGGCGGAAATCAACGGTTAAGATGTGGTAGTAACATTGATAGTAACATTATTTGGTTGTCGCAATATCTTATCCCTAATTAAAATAATTTTGTTGGTTTACTTTTTAATAACTCAAGCTTTATAATACTATTTGCCTATTATTTATCATTACTTTTATATTAATCAATTGATTCATCAATTACTCGTCTAGTTTGATTCGAGCTAAAATGGACCACGTGGTTGACAAAGTTTTCATTATCAAATTTTAACATAACTGCATTTTCAATTACTCGAACTCGAGACACTGGTTAAGCTAGAATAACCTCTTAGTAGTTAATCTACTTACTTGATGTTTTTACTTTCAATTAATCTATTTCAACAATATTCATAATATAAATGATATGTTTATATTTTACGGATTAAAGCAAGCCAAAGGTCATCGAAAACACTTTAAATTTGTATTTAAACAAAACTAAAATGAAGCCTTTTAACATGTTTATATTTTCAATCCTTCTTTGTTGTTAAATTTATATTTAACCCTTTTATATATAAAAAATACATTTTATCAACTTTAAAATTTGCAATTCAAGGATTAAATTTAAAAATCACTCTTGAAGAATTTCAGTGATAGATATAGAGGAAGATTTAACAATATAATTTACAACCTGAAATAAATTGTTTCTACATTTGAAAATTGACTAATATGAAGATTTTCAAAGAGATAAAAATGTTAATAATTTTTTATATTTTAAATTGATAATTTAATATACTAATACTATTTTTTATGTTTTAATTAATTTTAAGATTTCTTAAAAAGTTGTTGTCCCCTTTCGTAAATATATTCAAATTAACCATAACTTTAAAATAATATATATATCTTAAATTTGTAAAAAAAGTATATAAGTAAAGAATATGAATAAACTCAAAATGAATAAAATACATCTTTTGCATAAACACTAAACTAATAGTAAAATACCGGACAAATAGGAAGAAAAAAGGAAAGAAGAAAATAATTCATTTGCTCACAATCAGGAGATTTTTGTCCTTTCTGCGGTGTGAATTTCATCCCATGGGGTGGTGTTTGGTAAGTGGTCCAAAAAAAAAAATTCTCAGGAAAGCGACCCCAGCATATAGGAGGAATTCTAAAATTTACCATGAAAACTTTACATTCTCTGAATTTGAATTAACACATCAACATTCCAACAAAGAATGCCATCAGAAATGTGGAATTAGGAATTCTAATGGATAGAATTCTATTGAGTGAATTTTCAGACAAAACTATCATTCATCAGAAACGCAGTTCAATTTTATTGTTTTGAAAAGTTGAGGTTAATTTGATAAATTTATCGTATATTTCCTATAATATTTTACCATCAATCAAACTTAAACTCAATAAACTTATCCAATTTTTCCGATAATATTTATTATCCTATCAAATAAATTTTTTATAACATTTCCGTAAAATTCACTTTTCCACTATATTTCTCCTCTACCAAATATCCCCTAATTTTTTGTCTCCCAAACTTTCTTGCAAAATTGATTTCAATACAAAAAATAAAGGGAGCGACTGGGGATCTATTCTAGCGTCGTAATGCCTTCATGATCTTTTAAGTTTGTAATATTGAAGCTTAATTTAATTGTTGAATTAACAATAATAAGATTCAAATTTTTGATCACTTAAGTGGAGAAAATAGTAGCGCGTGAAAGATTATAAGTGAAGGCATTATTACTTTTTTAAAAAATTTAAAAATTTTGTAGAAAAAAAAAAGTTTATTTTTTTTAGAGAAATGTTATACTTACAACTTGTTTTCATTTATAACTTCTTATAACCATATCTGAGCCATTGATTATTAACGGTTATTATTTTCGCAAATCAAACTCATCAATTAATTATTAATTCGTAATAAATAATAACCTTTAATTGATGAAAATTAACTCTTAAGATATAATTGTAAGAAGTTATAAACGAAAATAGGTTATAAATATAATGTTTATCTTATTTTTATCAATAACAGGTATAAACTACAAAATTCAAAGGAACAAATCTTTCTGCATATATTTCCAGTTAAGTGGAAGGGATAGTTGGCCTTACTTGGGTATTTATGAGTGAAAGTGTCCCAAATACTCGGACCTCTGCCGCCTTCATTCGCTGCACCTTCATACTGTGCAGAATTGAAAGAAAAGCAAAATAAAAAATTGAATCAAATTACCGTTTTGTTTCTTTTAAAAAAGAGTAAATACTATTTTTAGTCCTGTCAATATCTACCAAGTCCTTTTTAGTCCCTGACAATAAAAAAGGACCAAATTGGTCCCTGAAATTACAAAAAAAGGGGCCATGTTAGTCCTTATGTCAACTCCCAAATATGTAGAGTGGCCCTTTTCTTGTACTTTCAGGGACCAATTTGGTCCTTTTATTGCCAGGGACTGAAAAGGACTTCGTAGATATTGTCAGGGACTAAAAATGGTGTTTACTCTTTAAAAAAAGAGTAAATACCCTTTTTGGTCCTCAGTAAATTTCATGATGCCTGTTTTAGTCCCTAGCAAATAAAAAGGTCCATCGTGGTCCATAAGAAATTCAAAATGGACCCATTTTAGTCCTTTTGAGGACTAATATGGGTCTTTTTTGAATTTGTGAGGGACCACAATTTCAACTAAATGGGTCCATTTTGAATTTCTTAGGACCACAATGGGCCTTTTTATTTGCTAGGGACTAAAGCGGGCATCGTGAAATTTGCTGAGGACCAAAAATGGTATTTACTCTTAAAAAATATATGTAAAAAAATTCCAAGGATAACTATATATTAGAAATAAAAACCAAAGCCAATAAAAAATTTTCTTCTAATTATTTAATTTTTTTAAACTATCATTAATAGATTAAATGATAATCCACCATATTAAGTGAGTTCTACACTGCAATATAATTCAAAATCTTATGATGTTAGATTTATAGATCCTTTCACTTAGTTCATTTCTATTTGCTCCCCTTCAAATGGAAGTTTTTTTGGCTAACCATCAAACTCAAATACTAATCATCATATCCAAACACTCAGTTTACACAAATCAATCAAGCTTTGACTCTTATATTACTATTGGGTAACATGCATGAGAGCCCATGATAAGAAAGACACCACAAATACTTGATTCACACAATCCAATCAATCAGTGACTCTAATATCATTGTTAGGTAATATGAAAGCCTACGGTAGGCGAGAACTATTATCAACGGGCTATGCGACAATCTACCACTTGCTAGACACCACAACTCATCATTTCAAAATTTTAAGCATTGGGTTTACAGGTCTTTTCATTTATTTAGTTCCCATTTAGTCTATTTTTAACCAATATAAAATTTCACTGATCACACTTGAATTGCGAAACGTATATGGTATTCATTTACATATGTTAAATAACAAAACATGTATATGCTTAGCCTAAGTGCAACAAGCTAGAAAGTCAAACCTGATATGCAGAGGATGATGTACCAAATATGAAATCCTCTGGAAAGCTGCTTCGTTTAAGAGAAGCTGTGTTATAATCCCCAGGAAGACCTTCAATGGAAGGCACATAATCAAGAACCAAAATAGTGAGTGCAAATATAAGATAGAGGATGAAAGTGTTTGAAGGTTTAATGTCCATGGGTGGCTATTGAAACTCAAGAACTCCTCCTACTTCCTTACAACAATTCTATGAATGAGAAAACTAGCCCTCCTGCTTTAGTTTTTGTATTGGTGCTTGCTACCCCAAGTTTGTAGAACTTCTCTATCTATCTTCTGTAATTTTAATTATATAGGGTTTAAGTTTTCTTATGTTGTAGGATTGTAGGAGAGAAAAAAAGTAGAGAGAAGTTAAATGTGGGTCCCATATTTTATATTAAAAAGAAAAAGAAAAATTAATTGACACGGAAAATGAATTTGTGTAGGAAAATGATTTACTCTCATGTAGCATGAGATTATTATTTCCCCAATTATATATTTACTGTGTTTTCCAAACTGACTTCAAGCAACCGATTTGCCAGATGCATTGCACATTCCCATTAAAAAAGAGTAGCTTCACCAATATTAAAATCGATCTATAAATTAAATATATTTAAGAATACAAGTGAAACATAAATTATAAATTAATGTCCTAGATATGGGATATTCAGCAAATTAGTGAGAAAAAAAATATATTTTCATCAAGGTTCACTACGGATCAAGATATTGACTTTATCAAACCAAGAATCATCAAATAAATTTAATGTGAAATAAAAATTATAGTATTAGGTCATAAAAGAATTGACCAAATGTAACTTTTTAAAATAATAAAACAGATGTTGAGATATATAGTCTCACATTGATTGTGTGGGCAACTAATATGGCCTTTATAAGGCCTTGGGCACTCCCATCTTTTGAGCTAGTTTTTTGGGTGATGTATCCCAAGGTTCTTTACATGGTATCAGAGCCTCGCCGCTCCCCACTTTCTTATGTGGCGTTTCTTAGCACAGGTATGCTGGGTCTGTTGCATTGTCCACTCTTCAAGCCCAATGGGCTCTCGTGTGAGGGAGCGTGTTGAGATATATAGTCTCACATTGGTTGTATGTGCAACTAATGTAGAGTTTATAAGATCTTGGGCACTCTTACCCTTTGAGCTAGCTTTTGGGGTGGTGTATCTCAAGGTTCTTAACATGGTATCAGAGCCTCACCGTCCCTCACTTTAAAGTGGATTAAAATAAAAAGCACAAAAAGATAAACAAAAAATTGGGCCTGTGCAATTTCCACGCTTCTAGCCTAAAGGGCCCTTGCGTGAGAGGGCGTGTTGAAATATATAGTCCCACATTGATTATGTGGGCAACTAATATGGCTTTATAAGACCTTGAACACTTCTACTCTTTGAGCTAGCTTTTGGGATGATGTATCCCAAGGTTCTTTACAACAAAGAACTTTCACTCGCCATTTATTAGTGGCATGTGGCAGCTCTATATGTCCGTGCTCGTTCACGTGGCCCTTAGATTGAGAGTTGACGACATAGTTGTGCGATCGACGTCTTGTGCCATGTTTTTTAGATCCTACACCTGTACACCAATACTACTATAAGTAGTAAAGTTGTTCGAAGACTAAAATTTAATTTTCACACATTGTTATTACTGTTAATGATGACTTAATTATTAGTTAATAATGAACTTGTTACTAAATTAATTTTATTCTATTTTAGAGGAACATACTATTAATTCAATAATTAATTTATATATTGTTAATTGTTAATTGAGTCATTATTAACACGACACAAAACTTTGTTGTTAAAGAATTATTTTTATCTTATGACAAAAAAAAAAAAATTGACGAGAAAACTTATAAATAAATAATGATAACTTGATTGAAGATTTCTATTGGATAGGAGGAGTATTGAATGCGCTCGCTACTCCTAAAATTTTTATTTATTATTATTGGTATAAAATAATATTTTTATAATAATAATATATTATTAATCCTAATAATTAGCCTTTTCTTAAAAAATATTTGTAATAGTTTAATCTCTTCTACTAGTTCTAATAATATTTTTTTAATTTTTTATTTTCACCTCTTATTATAAAAAATCATGAGTCCACCTGGACTATTAATCAGTGCATAAAGAGATATTTTCCTTTTGTTTTTGTTACCATAAAATGCATAATGAGATTCTCGGCCTTTAGTTTTTAAAACAATTCAAATAATAAAGTCAGATATTACAAAAAAATAAATAAAAAAATAAATAAAGCCAGATGCAAAATCTGTTGGATATATGCTCTTTTGGTCACTAAAGTCCTATTGGACTTCAGTGACACTTGAGCCCATGAGGCTTAGGGTTGAGTTATGTCTAAGACCTAAGCGTATATATTCATAGTTTTCTCCTCTTGTGCCTCCAAGGTGAACAGATTATCAGAAACAAACCAAAGAGGCAGACGTTCATCATCTGAACGAGTGCCCACACACTTTCCCTTCCTCCTCGAGAGATAGTTTGGAAGATCTGCCACAATCCAGCTTCAAGGAGGTTGTTCGTGCTGCGGCGTTGAGGTGAGCTGTTCGTGAAGAGGAATCCTACAAGGGAAGATTCTACACGAGACCTGCGCACCGAGAGGTAATTGTGAAACAAGGATGATTCGGTAAGCATACCAATGTACTAGGTCCTAAACAGCTTCCGCATAAATATAAGATTTTCTACAATTGGTATCAGAGCCTTGGCTGTACATTGGTATGTGAATCTAGTTTCACTATTCATGTAATTAGTTTTGCTTCTTGAAATGTGGCACCTAGGGTTCTAGGATTATGGTATGAATCTAGCATGTGTATTTTATAATTCATTTTCATAAAAGTTTAAATTTTAATCGGTAAAAATGCTTTAATCCATGGTTAGGGTCTCTCGTGTATTTCTCGATTTGTAACAAGGAGGCTAATCCCATATGATTATCATTAGGTTTCCTCCTTGCTGTTTTTATTTATTTTCGAAATGTCTGTGTATTTTTCCAATATTTTGTAAAAGTTCAAGATCGCGAAACCGCGAGTAAGATGCGCAATCAGTACTGTCGGAGACTTTTCGAGGACTTCTCGATCTTGGAATGGGGCGATCTATATATGGTTGGAAAGAGGACGGAAAGAAGAACGCAACGGTGGGTGGATCGCCGCCATCGGAGCCTTCACGCTCCTCCACGCGCCTCCACAAGCATCTGAGAGTGGCCGCCACTCTTCGGCAAAGAATGGGAGAGTTAGGGAGCGTCCGGCCACCTTTTTAGGTGGTTCCGGCGGCGGTGCACTCGTCTCTATGTGGCGGTCCTTCCCCTGGAGTTTCAGCCTGATTTGACTTCGGGTGACGGCGCGGCAGACCAGACGACTAGGGTTCCTCTTTCGCGTCCTAGGGTTTCTCGCCAAAGGATTGGGTCTTTGGGCTTTTGGGCCCATGGAAACCCTAAAGGGGCTTGAGACAGATACTATGGGCTAGGCGAAAGTTGAATTCCAAAGTTGTAACATTTTTTTTATTTTCTTTAAAATAGGAATGTCATGGATGAAAGTAATTAGATTTTATTATTTAATGCTTTTATTGATTGGTATAAATTATATGATTGATAACATGCTTTATTGCGATAACATGCCATATAGAATAGGTGGTACCATATTGTTGCATAACTTGTATGATTGCATGAGCATAATAGCTATTATGTCTTCAGCGACTAGTATGATAGTTATTATGGGATTATTTTGATTTTAAATTATCCTAAGAAATTAATTAATAATTATTATGATTTTTATTAAAAATCTAGATTAATAATTGAATTAATTAATTTTGGATAATTAACATCAAGACAAATAATCGTTATGGAAATTATTTTGATTTCAAATTATCCTCATAAATAATAATTATTATGATTGTTGCAATCTAGATTAATAATTAAGTCAGCTATTTGGATGATTTAAATCTAGAAAAATAATTAGAGAAAATTTCTTAAGAGAATTCTTTTATTTTGCGAGTAATTTGTGGGTTTTCTGAAATGGTCATGGAATAACACACGCTGCATACATCATTCATGTATCATGATTGTTTGGAGCACACGCTGACGTAAAGTGACCGGATTTCATGACCTTAATGCTTTCAAAATTATGTTAAGCTTAGTGCACGTTTATCGGTGCTCTTACTTATATAGTTTTTGAAATCAAACAAAGGATACTCTCAATTAAATAATTCTTGGAAATTAGAAAATGTTGCTTATGTTGAATGGAAGGAGATTTAAATTAAGAGATTAATTTAACCTTCAAGCGCATTATAGGACCATTAATAAAATAATCATATGAAGTCCCATCGAATAAGCATGATTGGATTTTATTAGATTGGACTTAAATATCTATGGGAGGAGATTTAAATTAAGAAATTAATTTAACCTCCAGGCGCATTGTGGGCCTATCAATAAAATAATCATGTGAGGCCCCAACGGATAAGCATGATTGGATTTTATTGGGCCTTAATAATTTCAAAATTTTAATAAAGTATTGTACGGCCCATCGTCGATAATACTAAGTTATTAAAGATAATTTTGAAATTAAACAATGAATTCGACTGGGCTTATGAAAATTCTCAAACAAAAATGTTGAATGGGTGAAGGTTTTAAAAATTAATTAATTTTAAAACCTGCGGGCTCCATTTGTGGGTTTATTAGTGAAATGGTTATCCTTGAAGCCCCATCGGATAAGGATAATCAGATTTCACTAGATTAAATCTTAATAATTTCAAAATTTTAGTAAAGTATTGTACGGCCCATCGTCGGCAATGCTTAGACACTAAGGATAATTTTGAAATTAAACAATGGTTAATTACATTCAACTTTGGTAAAATTGTTAACCCTCCCATCGAGGCTCTGGCAATGGCACTGAAGGCCCAAATAACAATTTTGATTTTTACAAGTGACTTGCCCATCGTAAGCCTTGTAAAGATAAATTGAAGGATTGTTAACAATAAACAAGAGTAGTTATGAGAATCTACTCGCACTTCGTTTGTTTAAAGCATTATTTGTTTGTAATTGTGTG